CCCTATATCTACTAAATAAGTGCATTGACGAAATCAATACGTGGATGTGCCAGAATTTTCTACAACTAAACACAGAAAAAACTGAGATAGTTGTTTTTGGCCCCAAAGAACAAAGATCAATAGTCAGTGCTCACCTTGACGCCATGACACTAAAACCTACAAATCAAGCCAGAAATCTTGGTGTAGTTCTGGACTCAGACCTAAATTTCAATAGTCACATTAAGACAATTACTAAATCAGCCTACTACCACCTTAAAAACATAGCAAGAATAAAAGAATTTCTGTCTAAACAAGATACAGAAAAACTTGTTCATGCTTTCATTTTCAGCAGGCTGGACTATTGTAACGGTGTCTTTATAGGCCTGAGTAAAAAATCAATCAGACAACTGCAGCTCGTCCAGAACGCTGCTGCTAGAGTCCTCACCAACACCAAGAGAGTGGAGCACATTACACCAGTGCTTAAATCACTGCACTGGCTTCCTGTGTGTCAAAGGATAGACTTTAAAATCTTGTTACTTGTCTATAAAGCACTAAATGGTCTCAGGCCTAAATACATCTCTGATATACTTGTACGTTATGAAGCATCCAGACCCCTCAGATCATCTGGAACAGGTTTACTCAGTGTTCTCAGGATCAAAACCAAACAAGGTGAAGCAGCCTTTAGTTTCTATGCTCCCCGCCTGTGGAACAAACTTCCAGAAACTTCCTGAAACTGTCAACTCATTCAAATCAAGGCTTAAAACATTACTATTTACTGCAGCTTACCAGTGAACTAGATATGTAACTTATTGTTAGGATAATCTGTAGCTATTGTTTTTATATTTGTCTGCTGTTGCTTTTGCTTTATGTTTGCTTTTTAAATGCATTTTCTGCACTGTTTTTCTTGCTTTTAGCTTTTGTTTTTAATGATCTATTGTTCCTTTAATGTTTTATCTTAACGTATTTCTCTTGTAAAGCACATTGAATTGCCTTGTGTATGAATGGTGCTATATAAATAAAACTGCCTTGCCTTGCCTTGCTTAGTGAACTTTGGAGTTATTGGTAAGTGTATTTTTGAACTTTGAGAGCTAGGGTAGCATTTTCCAGTTTGTCTCCAGTAACTGGCAAAGGTAGCAGAAAGTGTTCAGCAGATCTCCAGCAATTAGGGTCTGTGTCCATCAGAATGTTTTTTTCTGAGGCTGGCGTATTTTTGTTATGCTTTGCAATGGGCGCCGTGTATTTATGCCGTGTTACAAATGCTGGTAGTGCGAAGAGGTGTTGAGCATCAATTTTGCACTAAGCACTGGCTGTTGGTCTTTTTTCTAAGCACCAAGAGTTGAAAAATGTCCAACTTTCGGTAAAAAGGCCATGTTGGTCATGGTCATTTCAGTCATTCAATCACAGTGTAAGAGAGACAAATCATCACATCTTACATGTACTGAAGGTGCTGAACAACAACATCACCCATCCATTCATACATGAGGCCGGGTCACAGGGGCAGCAGGCCAAGCATAGCACCCCAGATGTCCCTCTCCCCAGTGACACTTTCCAGCTCCTCCTGGGTGACCCCAAGGTCCAGTGTGTTCTGGGTTTACCCCAAGACCTCCTACCAGTGCGGCGTGCAGGAACAGGAGGCATCCTAATCAGATGCTTGAGTCACCTCAACTGACCCCTTTTGATGCGAAGGAGCATCTCTACTCAGAGCTCTCTCATGATGTCTGAGCTCCTCACCCTATCTCTGAGGCTGAGCCCAGCTACCCCATGGAGCCATTTATATCTGTGATCTCATTCTTTTGGTCAATACCCAAAGTTCATGACCATGGGTAAAGTTTGGCATGTAGATGGATCAGTAAATAGAAAACTTCACCTTGAGGCTTAGCATCCTCTTCACCACAACAGTCATTGCAGATGACGCACTGAACCACCAATCCATCTCACGCTCCATTTTACCCTCACTAGTGAACAAGACCTCGAGATATTTGAACTCCTTTGTTTGAGGCAGTAACTCTCTCTCAATCCAGAGGGGCCAATCCACCGTTTTCCAGGAGAGAATCATGGCCTCAGACTTGTAGGAGTTGTCATCCCAACCCATTGTCGGGATGGGATGACAACAAAAATGGAGGAGAAATCTGTCAATATACTGTATATAGGCCTGTTATGTTTCCTCTCATGAATTCACAGACCTGCGGGTCTGTCCTCTCTCTGTCAGTATGCTTCAGCCTTCCCCTTATCCAAAGCATGTACTCTACATTGTGCCGATATGTTTACTTCTGTGGATATTCTGTATCATAGGAACCAGACATGACTATCTCAGCTGAAAAAATGCCAAGCCTCCAAGGCACTCTTAAACACTCACAGCTGGGCATTTCCTAAGGAGCTCCTGGTGTTTTCAGCTGTAAAGAAAATGCTTTGGTGGACACGGAGCCTTAGATGCCCCCCTCAGAAATCTTGGGTTGCGCTATGTGGAACTGCCCTGTCTTTGGATAGTATGCTAACCCTCACATTATTTGGATCCCTTATTGGTAGTGGGGATTACTACAAACATTGTTCCCAGCCTGAATAGAAATCCCATTCATGTGGTATTTCTCTCCACTCCGACCTCCACCCTCCCTCCTCCCAATGATTTATTCAGTAAGCTTGAAAGAGAGAGAGAAAGGTAAAGAGCAAGACAAGTTAAATAATTCAGTGAGGATCTAGTAACAGGACAACATGGGCTGTTTTCCCATGTACTTCATACCTGCAGTCTGTTTTTAACTTCATCTTTAGAAGAATGCCACCTCAACATACAGTGTAAATGACTTCAACAAATTCAACAAAGTCAACAAAGCAAATCTATGTCATCAGACATTCAGACAGACAGACAGACAGACAGACAGATAGATAGATAGATAGATAGACAGACAGACAGACAGACAGAGACCCAGGCTGTTGGTTCCATGATGAATCCTGATACCTGAGTGTCACCTGAGCAGCTGACACTGGTGTTACATTTAACCACGCACACACACACACAGCCACTCTCAATGCTAGTTCATTTGGAGCACTTGTTGAGGTTCAGCTGGGATTGTTTCTTTTCTAAAAGCCATGGAAAATTTTTGGATGTATCAAGTGGAAAAGCTTGAGGAGGAGCAAGCCAAGCAGAAGCAGCAGACTGACCAACATGATGGAGATGAGGTGTGGAAAATTTGAAGAGTTTATGATAATTTTTCCACTGGTGTGTTGAAGTGATGGTTTATATTTGTAGCAGTGGTGGAATCAATTGTCTTAAAAGTGTTATTATGTGTGGAGGGGACACAAAACGATGTGTTTAGAAGATCAAATTTCTCATTTCAAAGCCCTCTTGTGGATTCATAGAGAAGCTGAAAGTGTTGATGTTCGCTAATAATGTTTTCTTTTGGAAATTAAGACTCAATTGTCTGATTTTTACAGACAACAATTTGTGAACATGATTTAATTATCTCGATGTAGGAAATGGTGATCATGATCATGATAATACTTTTTGGCCTCTTTTCTCTTGAGATGGCTCTTTCTTTCACACAGCTGAGAAACTTTATAATGGTATATTATTAAGCTCAGAAGCCTGTCACCCTGAGATAATGACTGGTGTAAGAATTATTCAGATCCTTTACTTCAGTAAAATGATACCACGCTGCAACAGAGAAGTAGTCCTGCAAAGTACAAATCAGCACAATTTAGTAGTTTATACACTGCTGGGTTGTTTACTCTATAATGATGCAACATATTTTATCTTTTGTCATATGTTTTACAATCCTAATCTGAAAAGTAACTAAAGCTGTCCCATAAATGTAGTTGTGTAAAAAGTACAATATTTCCCTCTGAAGTGAGCAGAAAGCAAATGGCAGTATGAAATGGAAATACTTGAGTAAAGTACAATCACCTCAAAACTGTATTTAAATCCATCCACCCATCCATCCATCCATGTCATGACAATGTGCTGCCCTCTGTCCCACACAGGTGATATGTTGTGATGTTTTGTATCTATGCTGCCATTTGTCCAGTTGGTGTGTCAGCGTCAGTGCACCTCATCACAGCTTGTGTGTGTTTGTTTTGTGCAACTAAAGCTGTTGATGTTGGCTGTGTGAACCTTTGTGAAACTCAACTTACATTGTCCTTTAGGCTTTTCAGAATGCCAATCAATCTTTGGGTCCTGGTATTTATGTAGATGCCACTTGACACGCACCCCCCACCCAAACACTGTTGCAGACCAAGTACACTCCCTCATGGCAGTGGCACTCTCTGATGGCAGTAGTTTCCCCCAGCAGGACGATGCACCATGCCACACCACAAAAACTGTTCAGGAATGGCCCAAAGAATGTGACAAAATGATTGGACACCAGCCTGTCCTCCAGATTCCCCAGATCCCAGTCTGATGGAGCATTTATGGTATGTGCTGGTACCCCACCTCACAACCTACAGGACTCAAAAGATCCACTGCCACCCCCTGGTGCCAGACAGCACAGGACATCCAGAGGTCCTATGTCTGTGCCTCGAAATGTCAGAGCCAAGTCAGATCCAAAGAGGCCCAACTGTCGATTGGACTTGGCTCTGACCTAACAAGGCATGGACATATGTAGGACTTCGAGGGTACCAGCACGTCCCACATTTACTCAATTGCTTGGGATCTGGGTAATTTGGAGGCCAGTTCAATGCCTTGAGCTCTGTGTCATATTCCTCGGGCCATTCCTGAGCAATTTCTGCAGAGTGGCATGGCGCATCGTCCTGGGGGGTCACTACCATCAGGGAGTGCTGTTGCTGATGCGTGTCAATCCACGTGAACCCAGGACCCAAGGTTTAAAGAAGAACATTGGATTGTAATCAGATGATCAATGTTATACAATGTTTGAAGGGTCGGTGGCTGTCCTTAATTTAATGAGCATCTACTTGTTGGAGTGCCAGTTTATTCACTTTTTTCCACAGCTTCACCCAATGAGGTCTCTATTTGAGACATGAAGCGCTGTCTTCATTTAACTTTCTTTTGTATTATTATATCCTCCCTGCAGTCACCTGGCTCAGGCTCGCCCTCTCCTCCAGGAGCAGAGTCATCCAGCAGACATCTGCTGCAGGAAGACAGCTTTGAATCTTCTCCCTCTAGTAAAGAGGTGTGTTCATTTTTTTTAGTTCATTTTATTATTCATTACACATTCACTAATGTTTGTAATGTTTAAAAGAATGATTCTCCTCTCTTTTTATTATTAGTCCAGGAGAAGCCTTGCGTCTTTCCCCACATATGTAGAAGGTGAGTCTTTAATCCTCTGCTGCAGAGGTTTTCAATCTCTCAAGGGAGAGTTGGAGGGATTTACTGTATGAAGTTAAAGAGACACAGTAGATACATGATTGTACTCTGAAAAAATGTGAATTTACCATATATCCTTAAATAGTTGGTGGGGCCTTTCTTTATCTCAGCTTCAGAGGGTATCAGGCTTTTGTGTAAAGTAGGTTTATGTTGGAGATAGGCTATTATTTCTAAGTCCCTCTGTTTGATAGGTACATTTGAGCATAATTTAATAAGAAGCCTCCTTGTTCTTTGAACTGCTTTGTATGCACTTTTGATTTTCATGCCTCCACACTGTGGCTGGAGGCATTGCGTATGTATGTTCATCCTATTCTCATGAACATTATATCTCAAGAAGGCCTAGAGGGAATTTCTTCAAATTTGGGACAAATGTTTACTTGGACTCAAGATGAACTGATTAGTGGTCAAAGGTTAAATGTCAAGGTTGCTGTCAGCTGATAGCACAAGAAGGATTTTCTTCATATTTGGCACAAATGTTAGATATGTTCGTTCATCCTATTCTTCTGAACATGATATCTCAAGAGGGCTTGGAGGGAATTTCTTCAAATTTGGCACAAATGTCCATCTGGACTTAATAATGAGCTCATTAGATTTTGGTGGTCAAAGATCACGGTCACTGTGACCTTGTATTCATCTCATTCTTGTTAACCCAAGGTCTCAAGAAGGTCTTGATAGAATTTCTTCAAAATTGGCACAAACATCCACTTGGACTTAAGAAGAAACTGATTAGAAGTTAGTGGTAAAAGGTAAAGGTCACTGTCACCTCATAAAACATATTTTGGCCATAACTCAAGAATTCATACACTTGTTAGGACAAAATTTCACACAAATGTCTGATAGGATAAAGTATTGAAGTGATGACATTTTATTTCCAAAAGATCAAAGGTCAACTTCACTGTGACATCATAATGATCTGCAAAAACACTTTTCTGGCCATTATGCAACGTCATAACTCATGGACATAAAGAAAGACATTTGGTCAGAGAATTCTAGTTTGTTACTGCATTATGTTTTAAATTAAAAGCTCTCTAACTTTATAGGACAGAAACCCTTTTCATAACAAGGCTTTTTTGAGAATGCATGTATCAAGGTTTGAACACTACCACTGTCTCCTGTGATTCCTGTGCTAATCAGGAATCAGGACTAGAAAAGGCTTAAGCATTATTTTGCTCTAAGCTAAATACTGAAGGCCACAACCATTACCTGAAAACAAAGCAGTGTCTGTACATTAATCATGGATTAGGCCTGAAAAGAATGCTCAACTGTCTGTTTGTGTTTTTAACTTAATGCTATGTTACTCCAAACCTTGTTTTCTGTAATAACTACTACTCAGTACTGTAAATGCACTTTTCTTTTACCTTTTTTATGGTTATGTATGTTACTTTAGATTAAATACTGGACCCACTGTCGTGCTGGTAAGCTTTTGGCAAACATTTTGGAATAAATCATGACAAAGTGATGGACAATTGGAGGGTTGTCCTTCAAACCTCTGCCTGGCCTATACTGTCAGTGTTAAGTATGTTGAAGCAGATTCATCAGTGATGCCCTGGTAGTACACAGCTTATTGAACTGCACTGCTGATCTAAGCCTGTTGTTAATGCTGCATTAGCATTTCTTAAATGTCAGGGCCCTCAGTAGCCAATAAAGATGTAGGAGGGGAGAGACGGGTGAGGGGGAGAGAATGGGGGAAGAGGATGGGGAAAGATAGGGAAATTCCACTTCACCAGTCACATTACATCTGTGTTTTTTTTCCAATGGGTGCGCACACACACGCACACACACGCACACACACACACACACACACACACACACACACACACACACACACACACACACTATGTCCCACTCCAATTATGAGAACATGATGCTATGGAAACTTTAGGCCATCACTGTGAGTCAGACGGCAGCATACGTTGTCAATGTGTTGCCACATCATTTCATTAATAGTTCCTTTCCCATGGCTACCACTCTCTAATGACACATACATTTTTAATAGTTTAAAAGGTGTAACTAATGGCATTAATAAATAATCTGCCAATAGATCAGTAATTAACCACTAATTAAAATATTGTAAAATTATGTTTATCATCCTCCAGTTTGACGATCATGTAATTTGGCACCAAGTGCAGGGAAAATAGAGACTAAGGTCTGAGACAGGTCATTTCACCAGATGTGTTTCCAAGTGATTGTTGATTTCCAGAGGAATATTCATGAAATATCAGCTATACTGATTTCAATTTAATGTGATTATTTATTCATTTATTATTGTATATTTCATATATGTCTGTCCGGTAGAATATTACAAACCCATACCTTTTGTTTAATGTCTAGCATTTATAATTTAAGTATAGATGGATGGCTTATCACAGATTAACAGTTAAAAGCAAGCAAACAAACTTAATTCATAAAGAACCTACCAACCAGTTTTCTAAGAAAATGAAGTATTCAAACCATTTTGGGTGGGGTCAGGCTGGATTTTTTGAGCCCGGTCTAAGCTCTACGCTGAGAGCAGCTGACATAGTATTAAGAGCGACAAAGACCACGGTGGGTGGGATGGGAGGTGAATGGGTCAAACAAAACTGGAATTTTCAGCCATAAGACTGCAGTTTATGTCCATCGTGAAACCAAAAGTCACTGTTGTTTTAACATAATGTTACGTAGGTCTAACTTATACAGTCACTCACTTGACTTATTTAAGTCACATTACATCACAGTTATGTAACAAACGTACCTCTTTTAACCCAAAACATGAGCTTTTTATAAACCTAATCAATTACTTGAATTGCCTAAACCTAACTGCATTAGGTTTTATGTGTTTGGTGGCGTCACATAGATCTGCTAAAGGGTATCCTGTGTGTCCGATCAGATGCCAAGGGGTGTGACAAAGTGATGGTATTTGACGACCTGGAATGAGAACGGGTTGGACCCAATAGGATCACATAGTTAGTCGTTTTTTTGTTAAACACACTCTACTGCAAGCCTCAATATTTAATTAGTATTACTATTATAAAATGCTACTCCTACATGCTTTAATTTTCCTGTTAAAATAACAAAATGTACCTATACCAATGAATCATTTTTCTGGAATTTCTGGAATTTAAATTTATGTATTGTTAGAAATGTTCATATGTTATAAAATGTTTTAATATAACACATTGTAAGTGACGGAACAAAAATTAAACTTAAAATTAGCCTTTTGGCTAACACTGGCACATATACAGTGATATTCATCAATGTGTATTGTCCTGAGAATATATGAAAATAATAGTAAATTGAAAAATATGAAAAAAAAAAGGAATTACCTGAAAAGTAAAAAACACAAACAACGTAACAAAATAAAATACAGTATACCATACACTATACTATAAACTGTCAGTTTAATTTTATTTCATTTTTTCCAAGATCCAAATTGGTGAGCCCATTAGAATATATTTAAAAAAAAAAAAAACATATTTGGATTTTTTTTTTCTCTCTATTATAATAACCTTGTTGTTATACATGTATTTAAGTTATTTCCTTCTGTATTTCTAGTGGTTTAGTTAAATTCAGCTAATTTTCCAAACTGTGACGGGGAAACATTGTGTTGTAGTGAGACTGAACCCCTCTCCTCCGTCTAGTCCCAGGCCCATGTGACCCAGAGGACCTGATAGATGGGATCATCTTTGCAGCCAACTACCTGGGCTCCACCCAGCTGCTGTCGGATAAGACTCCATCCAAGAACATCCGCATGATGCAGGCACAGGAGGCTGTCAGCCGCATCAAGGTGAAAACACACACTCATGTAGTGTATGCACACACTGGTTTGCATTTTTACATTCTATAGTCAATTGCAATGTTTCAAACTCAGTCAGACTGCAGCATTTTGGTACCAAATAAATAGATGATACATAATGTAGGCACTAAACATCATATTGTACCTGTAGTATTTTCTATATTCTTCTTTTTCTAAAACCCTAATTTTCCCATTTTTGTATTATTCAATTTTTTATTCAGTTCAATTTTATTTATAAAGCCAAATATCACAAATCACAATTTGCCTCAGAGGGCTTTACAGCATGGGGCATCCCTCTGTCCTTATATCCCTGTCCTAGTATTTCCTGTCTTACCAGTTATGACTGAAGTCATGTTATATGACTGTGCAACCAGTTGCATCTAATCCCAACTCTATTTGTCTGTTGTATGAACATAAGTATATCTAAACATCCAAATCTACATCTCTGCCATAATCTTAAAGCCATATTGATAAAACATTTGTTTTTCAGATGTCATATTATCAGATGATATTTTACTCTGTACAAGCAGAAAAGTGAGATTATGCTCATCATATATAGTTGGCGAGGCAAGAAGCTCCATTCTATAACACCACTGTACCATCAGAGCGGACTGAGTGTTCCTGTAGCTCCAACAGCTCCGACCGAGAGATAAGTCTTCTCTCTAGTTGACAGAGATCCATTTAAACACATGCAAATTAAAGGCAGCTACAATGTATTTACATTTTTGTATGTTGTGCTCCTATTATGGTTATTATGGTAAAAGTTTGTGGTAATTGGAGTTAATGGAAAGTGTACTAACTGTTCAGTTTTTTCCTATAATAATTAAATTTACATATAAAATACAAGTGCATGTCATGAAAGCAAGTGATACGAAATCACAGTTACATATCCTTAGCTTTTGCATAAACTATTAATAAGTCTATAGATTTATATACTGTTGTTAGTTGTAATGTTAGTGTGCGTCACTTTAGAAATGCTGATATGATGTATGAAATGTGCAAATGTTATGTATTAAAAAGGTACAATGCAAACATTTTCTTCTGGCGACTCGGCTGCTAAGTGAGTCACCCCGTGCCTACAATGTCACTAAACTGAGAGCTACGTTTCCATGGTAAAGGTCATGTTGGCAGAGTTTTCTTCTCCAGCAGAGATGGCTGTTCAATAGATAGCTTCAGCACCACTTCCAGTAGTGTGGTTATCCCTCTGGTTTGGGATTTTCTCCTTTGAATTTTCTTCTTTACATTTCTGAAACTTGTTCAAAGACCTTTTAAACAGCTGTGATGCTCTTCTTGGCAGTTGTTGTGCAGAGATATGTTAGGCTACTGCAGGACATGTGAAAACATGGCCTACCTCCACATAACATACCTGAAACTTGAGAGCCCAGATATTGCAGGTTTAATGAGGGTGTACCTATGTGTCCCTCATCAGTGCGTCCTGTGTCCTTGGCCTGAGGGAGTAGGTTTGACTTATATGTAGCCTTACAACATCACAAATCATGCATTTGCTTCATAGGCCTTTACAACCTGCACAGTATAAGACACTTTTTTTCCTCAGCCCTTTGATTCAGATTATGAAAAAGTCCTCAAAAAACCTGAATGAATAAAAAAAATGGATGAAACCTCAGGAAGATCAACTAAGGAGGGATCCCTCAGATTGACAATGATGACTTGTATCTGTGCAAAGTTTGTCACTAGAGAGGTGTTTTTACATTTTTCTATTGAAGGGGGAGATGTCTGTGCACTTCATAAAATCTGAGACTCAAACATACCCCAAGCAAGCTAGATTAGGTAAGTCACTATTGAAAGCCAGTCGCTGTCTAATAAGGGAAACACAAAGTGACAGGGGAAACAGACTTCAGACTATATTCCCATCCTCCCAGACCCTGAACATATCCCAGGTTTGAACAGGATTTATCCATCATTAGAATTTGGCTGTCTGAGTGCTTTCTCCACTTTAAAGAAGTATTTACTGCTGGAAAGTCTTTTCATAAAACTGGACTCTATGAAGCAGGAAGAGGGCAAAAACCCACAACTACCAGAATGCACTGCACCACACTAGACCAATAAATGGTCCTGCAGGTGGGTGATGTAATGTGCGTTGCCCATCTGAAAATAATGTGGCGGCCGACTGGTAACAAACGATCTGGAATTACAGTTGAAAAGTAAGTTAAAATATATTTATGGAAATGTTTGAGTTGAGAAATAGATGCAATAACAGAATCTTGATACATATTTGATCAGCACTGCTTAGTTTTACTGTTTTATTGGAGTTTGGTTTAAAGTAGAGAAAGAGAAAGGTGTGGCTCTCTCCCTTGATCCACTTCTATACTTTCCGTATCTATGGTGGCGGTCATGCAAAAATAAGGAAGTACAATCTGTAGTTGGAGCAACAGCCCAAGAGTGTGCCAAGAGATCTGGGTGCTGGCAAGATGGAGGGAAGTTAAACGCTCAGAACCCATCTTGTTATGATACAAAACTGGTCAAAGTTGGCTAAGTAATCCTTTAACAAAGACAAAACACAAATCATGATTGTAGGGCCAAAAACACATTTATGTGTGTCAAATACATCTCTCAGCCTTGATGGCAGAACCATTCTTCCTTATACATCAGTCAAAAATGTGGTTGTCACTTCTGACTCATCACTTTCATTCAAAAAACACGTCAATAAGATCACAAAGATGGCTTTCTTCCATCTCATCCACATTGCCCAAGTTACCCCATTTTACACAGTCAGACACAGAAAGTGTCACTGATGCCTTCATCTCCTCCAGTGTTGGAGGCAGGATATGTATTTCTTTTGGCATCATATTTTTGCATTTATAGCTTAGATAAGTTGGTGACTTTAAAATTTGGCTATGAACATAAGTCCTATACTTAAAAGGTTGTTTTTTTCTGTATTTTTAATTTTAAATGGTTAATACTTAAAACTGCACCTGTCAGATGCAATTTGATGTCATCATAATTTCTTGCTTGGTGATAGTGCTTGGTAGATAAAGCTTCAGGTTTTGTTTTATAGGACGAAAGTGTGACAGTGTCACTTAACATCTCCACTGTTGTTCCCCTGAATTTCTCCCCCCTGTATGACAACAGCTGACACTCCAATCTCATCCTACACATGCCACTATCTACCAAACTAAAATACTGTTTTCTTCCAAATTCTGTCATAACACTGATCACTAAAATTTCCAGGTAAAATGACCTTGACATTTGGAAATTCTTCCCAGAAACCCAGGTTTTTTGCTTGAGTGAGCAGAACTGACCAGCTTGAAATGTGGGCTCAGCTGGCCATGCTTTCATTTCCAAAAGAGGATTAATATACCCAGAACACCTAGTGAATCAGTCCTCCCTAAGACATCCAGCAACAAGGAACGTCTATGCAACAGATTATGGTTGCAATAGTATGAGATTTTCATGGTACGACAACCATCTCAGAAAATATCGCGGTTTCACGGTATCACGGTATCACGGCACTATATAATTTATATTATAATCAGTCAGAATGACCCTTAAAGGAATGAAAATGGAAGGTTTATTGTTGGTTGAATAAACATTTTATTACTATAATTTAAACTTGAAACCATTTTGTTAATGGAAGTATGTGTAAAAAAAAATTCTTTTGAAAATACCTAAAATAAAGGGGAGATTCAACTTCCAGCAAATACACAGGGTATGATAATGGTCAACTTACAGTATACCTTGAAACCAGTATATTGCTGCAACCCTACAACAGATGACCTTAAACATCTGTGTGTATTTGATAGACGTTGGCCACCATTATAGTCTGTCTTTGTGCAGCCAGCCCTGTGAGTTTCACACTGTGAGAATAGAGGAGCCTATTTTGTGATGTGCTGTAGCTCTGTACAGAAATATGTGATCGTCAGCCCTCAGTCTTTTCTGGAGCCTAAACAACAGAGACACCTGCTGGTAGGGGAAGGCTAATACAAATACACTTTATCTTTATATTACCTTACATGGTGAAGTATCCAAAGGCTCCTACTGTAACATGAGTGCATAGTGTTTTAGTATGAATAGAGTGAACACTGACAGCAGTCCAGAGTGTGTTGGCAGAAGGTATTCTACAGGCAGATGGTGGTCAGAACAGATGAGCTCTCCTGCTTTCAGCTGTAGGACAGGTAGAGGGTGAGGGGCTCTGCCCTGTAGCTCATAGTTTTTCTTTGAACAGAGTATGATGGAACTGTTTTAGGAGCCTGCAAAGTAGACATTTTGATTGTCCTTTGTACTATCAGAATTGTGGTAAAACTGAAAATGAAGAATTTATTGTAATGCCTTGTAGACTTAAAGGTCCAGTGTGTAGGATTTAGGGGGATATATTGTTACCATAGAATGAGTTCTTTATATCTACATAGGGAGCAGGTCCTTGTCTGCCGAGACTGCCATGTTGCACTGCCATGTTTCTACAGTAGCTCAGAACGGACAAACCAAACACTGGATCTAATTATGGCCATTCACATTTTCACATTTTTGTGTTGGCCACCGTAGTTAGCAGTCCCTCCAAGACAAGAGCATTGGAAAACACTGATTTTATTTTAGGGCTGCAATCAACCAAAGAAAATCTTGGTTGACTGAAATTTTACCTACTCTTTGACCAATCGATTGGTGGATGGGGGAAAAAATCTGGTTACCTTTTAGACAGCACAACCTGGTGGCATATTGTGTCTATTAAAGCATTTTTTTCCTGTCACAGGGCTCGAAATTTAGACGTTAACTTTGGGGTCCACGATGCCATATGAGAGAGGGACTTACTATTTTTAGCCCAGAAGCTAACATTAGTCATCGTGCCACTCCAACAAGGTCACCAGTGTGATCCTATTCCTTTCAGAAGCTTTATAATCCAGCCTTGAACTGCAGTGTCTTTTTGAAGACTATGTAAAATAAATCCATAATGATAACACAAAGACACTGAATGCCTTTTGTGATTATTTATATGTTTTACAATTAAAAAGGAGAGTTAAAAAGAGTGTTTAACTTTGGTTAAAATGTTGCACTCGTCACTGTCACCACTTTGTCCAGTCACATGGGAGAAGGGGCGGGACAAACACAACAAAGACCCAATCATTACAGAGGACAATTTGGAGTGCTGAACAACAACAGCTGATATTCTTCAGCTGGGTTTAAGAAATGCTGTGGTGGACACAGGACCTTATTAAGGTTACACCAGGGACTGTCCGACCAATGAGAATTCGGTTGGAACACAACGACCGAACGACCGAAACAATAAACTAGCCAACCAGAACTTTACAGCCCAATTTTGTTTTTTGTTTTTTTGAACATGAAACTGCTTTAGTTAGTGTTTTTACCAGTTCAGTCACCTGGTCCATTTGTTTTGGAGAGTAAGAGATCTCTGTGGATAATTCAGCTCCTGGTATAAACCTTTTGAACATTAGAATCTAGAGTTATCAGAGAAACAGAGAAGCACAGATCAGCAGGTGCTGGGCTAACAGCCTGTTTCTGACATGCGGAACAATGAAGGAGAAACAATGATTTGTAACGTGAAACTGCTTCATTCAGTGTTTTTCCCAGTTTAAATAACCTTGCCAGTTTGTTTTGGAGGGGAATAATTCGGCTCCTAATAAAAACCTCCTGAGCGATGAACACTGAAGGAATTCTAAGCAGGACAAGTTTCAGCAGGTTGCAATTGGCAATCCTCACCACTAGATTCCACTAAATCCCCCTAAATCTTACACACTGCTCCCTCATTTTACTTAACAAACTGTAGCTGAAAGGTGAACAGTGGAGGAGAAGATGGAGAGGTGCACCACAGACCACAGAGAGTTTGTAACATCATTGCTGTGTGTGCAATACTGCACAATGGTTGCAAGCTGCAGCATGATTAGATGCTCTAGACAGGGCTGAAGTGGGTTGACAGGATTGGCTGGATCTGCTTTTACTACTATTTTATATTTGTGGCTTGCCAGTGCCACAAACTGCAAACTGTAAATTTCTTATTGGTAGAAACAGTATTGAGATCTAAGGTGTTTCTTTATTTAGCAATGAGATTTTACACATATAACCTGGATAACTCAGTGGTTTGTATTGTTAGCCCCTACACAAAATGTCGAAATCCAAAAATGTATTGCTATTTTCTGCATTTTCAATTGGCCCAGTATTTCAAGGCATATCTATCAGAAAACTACAACACATCATCAAAAAGTCTACTATGTATTCTAAAACGGTTACATCACACTTTCTCCTGCTGAAGGTCAGAGCAGAAAGCTTCATTAACAACGTGTGTTAGACCTCGGTTCACTTTTAGTTCAGTTCTTGATTATGTGATGCTTGATAAACACAGGTGCACTTTTAGTATGAAAGTGAAATTTAAAACTGGGCACATGAGCAAAGGGCATGCAAAGTCCTCCATCTTCAAATACTGTACAGATCAGGGGTAGGCAACCTGCTGCTCTGGAGCCCCACGCAGTTCTTCAGACCCTCTACAGTGGCTCCCTGTGGCTTTGACATAAAATTATCTGGAAAAGAATAATGGTTATTTTTTAACATTCAGTTTTTCATTTGTCATTGCTGTAGGCCTCAAGTGATTACTGCATTCTACAATTGTAAAAATGTGTAGTTTATACATTGAATTAAAAAACATTTTAATGTTTCATTAACCAAAATGTGCATCATACGTCTGACCTGGTGCCTTTTCCTCTAAATTTTGCCAAACTTCAGTGGCTGTGGCTAGCCTGGAGTCTCTCTAGCAAGGCTAGCTATACATTACAAATCCAACAAAGGAAAAGTCTTGGAATTTAAGTACTAAATAATTATAAATAGCCCACTGCCACCTTGTAGTAAATCACATTAACGAATGCACATTTAGACCTATTTGTAATATCGATGGGCTAATTTAGACTTAATAGGCTGTTACCTATATTCAAATATGTTTTGCGGCATATGTATTTTTATTTTTATTTTTTTTTCCTTGCTGACTCCTAAATGTACAATATGAACACACCTACTCAGTGTGAACAAAATGTCAAACACTGTACAGTATGATGTCACAACAGAATAAACAGCCCGTCCCCACCTCCCTCTCTGTGATCCAGTCAATCTCTCCTGTGCACTGCTCTAACCCATGACTCTCCTGTCTGCTTTATTCCATGCCTGGCAGACGGCCCAGAAATTAGCCCAGAACAGGAAGAAGGTGCAGTACCTATATATCCGTCTCTTCCTCCAAACTGCACAGCACTGTATCTCTTTCTCCTCTGCCTGGCTCTTTGTCTCTTTCTGTGTCTGTGTGTGCGTATCCCTGTCCTGTCCTTTGTGTCCTCTTCACTGTACTGTCATTCTGATGAATTGTTGGCATTTTCCTGAATCCAGCTTTGTATTGTTGGAGGTGTGATTTTCATTTATACTGTATGGTCCCTCCCTTTGGTCTCCAGTCCCTTCACCATTTTTTCATTCCATATCAGACATTTTGTAACACCCCCCCCCCCCCATATAATTTGATCAAACTGGTCAACTGTATGTCTTAGAATGCAGTTAGCTGGATGCAGGAAAGAGCTGTGATCTTTCTGACACTGTGAGCTCTTACTGGGTTTGTGGTTTCATTAAGTGTGTTTTCTCTCTCTCTGCTGCAGATTCTGTATTTGTAGGTACACTGTGTGTGACCGTACATACAGTACAGGCCAAAAGTTTGGACACACCTTCTCATTCAATGCGTTTTCTTTATTTTCATGACTATTTACATTGTAGATTCTCACTGAAGGCATCAAAACTATGAATGAACACATGTGGAGTTATGTACTTAACAAAAAAAGGTGAAATAACTGAAAACATGTTTTATATTCTAGTTTCTTCAAAATAGCCACCCTTTGCTCAGATTACTGCTTTGCACACTCTTGGCATTCTCTCCATGAGCTTCAAGAGGTAGTCACCTGAAATGGTTTCCACTTCACAGGTGTGCCTTATCAGGGTTAATTAGTGGAATTTCTTGCTTTATCAATGGGGTTGGGACCATCAGATGTGTTGTGCAGAAGTCAGGTTAATACACAGCCGACAGCCCTATTGGACAACTGTTAAAATTCATATTATGGCAAGAACCAATCAGCTAACTAAAGAAAAACGAGTGGCCATCATTACTTTAAGAAATGAAGGTCAGTCAGTCCGGAAAATTGCAAAAACTTTAAATGTGTCCCCAAGTGGAGTCGCAAAAACCATCAAGCGCTACAACGAAACTGGCACACATGAGGACCGACCCAGGAAAGGAAGACCAAGAGTCACCTCTGCTTCTGAGGATAAGTTCATCCGAGTTAACTGTTAAGAGGAGACTGCGCGAATCAGGCCTTCATGGTCAAATAGCTGCTAGGAAACCACTGCTAAGGAGAGGCAACAAGCAGAAGAGATTTGTTTGGGCCAAGAAACACAAGGAATGGACATTAGACCAGTGGAAATCTGTGCTTTGGTCTGATGAGTCCAAATTTGAGATCTTTGGTTCCAACCGCCGTGTCTTTGTGAGACGCAGAAAAGGTGAACGGATGGATTCCACATGCCTGGTTCCCACTGTGAAGCATGGAGGAGGAGGTGTGATGGTGTGGGGGTGTTTTGCTGGTGACACTGTTGGGGATTTATTCAAAATTGAAGGCACACTGAACCAGCATGGCTACCACAGCATCCTGCAGCGACATGCCATCCCATCCAGTTTGCGTTTAGTTGGACGATCATTTATTTTTCAACAGGACAATGACCCCAAACACACCTCCAGGCTGTGTAAGGGCTATTTGACCAAGAAGGAGAGTGATGGAGTGCTGCGGCAGATGACCTGGCCTCCACAGTCACCGGACCTGAACCCAATCGAGATGGTTTGGGGTGAGCTGGACCGCAGAGTGAAGGCAAAGGGGCCAACAAGTGCTAAACACCTCTGGGAACTCCTTCAAGACTGTTGGAAAACCATTTCAGGTGACTACCTCTTGAAGCTCATGGAGAGAATGCCAAGAGTGTGCAAAGCAGTAATCAGAGCAAAGGGTGGCTATTTTGAAGAAACTAGAATATAAAACATGTTTTCAGTTATTTCACCTTTTTTTGTTAAGTACATAACTCCACATGTGTTCATTCATAGTTTTGATGCCTTCAGTGAGAATCTACAATGTAAATAGTCATGAAAATAAAGAAAACGCATTGAATGAGAAGGTGTGTCCAAACTTTTGGCCTGTACTGTAAATACATAAACATCCTCTTGTTTACTAACCTACCCAGAGTCAGATGACAAAATGTTATGTCAAATCATCTCTGTGCATCTTGTGCAGACTGAGGTGTTATAGACTAAATGCTAATATCAGCATGCTCACAATGACAATGATAACACGTTGATGTTATGTTACAATGGTCACCATATTAGCATGGTAACATGCTAATAAGCACTAAACAAAGTCATCTGAGGTTGATGGACATTGATCACAGATCGATTAGATGTTTCCATGGATTGTTTACTATTGTTATACCTCGGATCCATTGTAATCATAAATCATGAAACTTTTACAAATGTTTTACATATATATTTCAAGTACTCAATGGGTGAATGTTTCATATAGATTTTGGGTGGAATAAGGCTTTAAAATGCATGTAAAATATATTTATTGATATATTTGAATAGATAAATCAGCCTCATCCCAAATATTTATACTAATCGTAGTCATTGGTTGGATTAATGTCATGGTAACCCTTTTTAATAACCATCATCAATAAATGGTAAATGATAGTTAATTAATGTTTAATTCATAGTTACTTTACTTTTAACAATTAAATGATGATTAATAATGATTACTAAATACTAGAATTTACATTATTTAAAAAGTTTAGCATTGCACATATTGTAACATTTCAGTCAGACACTTTAGCCAAAGAAAACTTTATTTATATTTTGCAGTATTATATTTGGCAGTATGGCTCTGTTCTGGGGCCTCTGCCTTTCCTTGAGCATGTGGAGAAAGCCTAAGGCAGAGAGACCATACTTCTCCGCCCTTCCAAGCACCTACACGAACAGCCTGAGGCAGGGAGAGCAGCAGCAAATACTCCCTGGGAACAGTACGGAGCAAGCATCAATGACAAACAGAAATGACATTGATAAGTCAGATACAACAGAAAAAGGAGGAGCTGGGGTGGAAGTTGCAAAGCAGCTTGCAGAGGAAGCAGCAACAGAAGGCAGGCTAGAGCAGTCTAAATAGGGCACCCTGAATGAGATTTGCCAATTAGTTGCATAGAAAGGAATCATGTGAACTATCAGATGACTCCCTTCCCTCAATAAGCTGCTCCATCAGTTGACTGGGCTGCTTGATATCAGCTGATGTAGCTCAGCATGCCCTGGCTGAACTAAAGCTAAACTCAGTTTAATATACGATATTAAATATTTGTTAATGATTAACAAATGATTTTTAAACCTTAAAGAAATATGACAGATAGATGGAGCAGATATTTGTAACACTTTGTTAATGATTAATAATTGATTTGTAATCCATTATTTAACATTGTTTGGATGGTATATAGTAATAAATGATAATATATAATGGCTTATTAAATGGTTAATGAATACTGTGTGGTGCACTGGTAAAAAAAGAATTTGGGTAGCCATTATACTCGGACAATGTTTTTAAACTGTTACACTATTATATATTATAGCATTATTAATAATCAGTAAACACCATTAATAATCATTTCATTATTTAACAGTAAAGTGACTGTTTATTTACTATCAATTTACCATTTATTATTGATGGTTAAAAGGAAGTGTTATGTATTTTACTTTACCAAAAATTGGAATGCATCTATATTATCATGATTATCATATCATCAGCGTTTACAGGTAATACACACCTAACTTCACAACAATTTTCCCACTGAAATACTTGTTGATAGTGAATTACCCAGGTCAGGAAGCCATACAGTAGGTGTGAAAAATTTAACAAGCACAGTTCTAAGTAAATTTGCCCACTGCATGTTTAGAGTATCTAAAAAGGTATGCAGGCAACTAGACAGAAAAAAGATATTATGTTTGACTTTTTTTTTAATATTTATAGAAATGATCAATTAGGAGCTGTTAGAGTTAGCTCTGCAGCTTGAGTCCAGACTCTTTTAGTCAGAGGGTACTTTGACTTTGAATTTCTGTGTATTCAGGAACACCCGCTCTTAAGGTTTTAGCCTTTTTATGTCTGTATGTTTTGTGAATATGGTTGTGTATATGTGTGCGTAGGCCCCTGAGGGTGAGCCTCAGCCCATGACAGAGGTGGATCTCTTCATCTCCACCCAGAGAATCAAAGTGCTCAATGCTGACTCCCAGGTACTTACTCTGACTGACGTACAACACACAGCTGTGTAGTGCCTATTCCTGCCACCTCACTGAGAAAAAACCAGCAATGTAAATATTAGAAGATCTCTGGCAAACACACTGAAATGAAGCTAAGTACACTGTAGACTACACAGTTACATGTGGTACTAACCAGTCATTCAGATAAAAAATGAACTCCACAGTCCAATTGGGATTCAGATCAGATCGCTGTCTGGTTCTGCTTGTAATTCATTTAGGGAGTAAAGACTTTCTGGTCAAGAAAAAAAAAGCAGGCCACCCAACTAAGTTCCGAAATGTATAAATAGAACAAGTTGTATGTACTGGATTAGCCAGCTAGCAAAAAACACAAAGTTTACACTAATACACTATCCAGGCCAAACCTCACACTCAGCTTTGACCACTGTTTGTTTTAACCTAATTAAATGTATTCAATGAATTTTGACTTCAGTCATTTTTTTTTTCACCTCAGTTAAATGTGTTCAATGAAATTTGGTGGGAGAGAATTAAGGGCAGATGCATGATGCAGGTTGTTATGGCAGTGGGGAAAAGCAGCTTTATATTTTATGAATTGTGGGCAGACTTCAGCAATAACGTTTAACAGAAATGTACATGGAGTCTTAATTCATAACGATAAACAGCAAAAGAAAAATTTGCACGTGAAATTATATCTAAATATGAAATAAATTTTGCAATAAATATGCTTACACTGGCCTAAATCAGGAAAGATTTGGTGTCCCACTCACCCAAAGGTCCTGTCCCAATTGCCCAAATGAAACGCACACACAGACAGAAAAAAAAGAGGTTGAGGGTTAGTTTACTTAAACAGGTATGTCACGCCTCCTTGGAATATGAATGAATCTTCAGTATTACAGAAATACAGTCAGGTCCATAATTATTTGGACAATGATACAGTTGTCATCATTTTGGCTCTGTACACCACCACAATGGGTTTTAAATGAAACAATGAATACCTGCTTAAAGTGCAGACTCTCAGCTTTCATTTAAGGCTTTTTTTCAACCATTTCTTCACACAGCCCCCGACTTTAAGGGCTCATAAGTATTTGGACAAACTAACATAATCATCAATTAAACAGTCAGTTTTAATACTTGGTTGCAAATCCTTTACAGTCAATGACTGCCTGAAGTGTTGGACACATAGGCATCATCAGATGCTGGGTTTCTTCCCTGGTGATGCTCTGCCAGCCCTTTACTGCAGCCGTCTGCACTTCCTGCTTGTGTTTTGGGTGTTTTGCCCTCAGTTTTGGCTTCAGCAAGAGAAACGCATGCTCAATTGGATTCAGATCAGATGATATGACTTGGCCATTGCAGAACATTCCACTTCTTTGCCTTAAAAATGTCTTTGGTTGCTTTTGCAATATGCTTCAGGTCAATGTCCATCTGCACTGTGAAGCATCGTCCAATGAGTTTTGAAGCATTTAGTTGAATCTGAGCAGATAATGGTGCCCCAAACACTTCAGCTTTCATCCTGCTGCTCTTGTAAGCAAGACAAGACTTCACTAGAATAAATACAGAGGGTTTATCACAAGATGCAAACCATTGGTTAGCCTTAAAAATGGAAGGCCAGATTAGAGTTTGTCAAAAACCATCTAAAAAGCCTGTACAGTTGTGGAACAGCATACTATGGACAGATAAAACAAAGATCAACTACCAGAATGATGGAAAGACAAGAGAAGGAAGAAGGGAAGGAACTGCTCATGATCCAAAGCACACCACCTTATCAGTGAAGCATGGTGGAGGTACTGTTATGTCATGGCCATGTATGGCTGCCAGTGGAACTGGTTCTCTTGTATTTATTGATGATGTGACTGCTAACAAGAGCAGCAGGATGAAAGCTGAAGTGTTTGGGGCACCATTATCTGCTCAGATTCAACCAAATGCTTCAAAACTCATTGGACGATGCTTCACAGTGCAGTTGGACAATGACCTGAAGCATATTGCAAAAGCAACCAAAGACATTTTTAAGGCAAAGAAGTGGAATGTTGTGCAATGGCCAAGTCATATCATCTGATCTGAATCCAACTGAGCATGCGTTTCTCTTGCTGAAGCCAAAACTGAGGGCAAAACACCCAAAACACAAGCAGGAAGTGCAGACGGCTGCAGTAAAGGGCTGGCAGAGCATCACCAGGGAAGAAACCCAGCATCTGATGATGCCTATGTGTCCAACACTTCAGGCAGTCATTGACTGTAAAGGATTTGCAACCAAGTATTAAAACTGACTGTTTAATTGATGATTATGTTAGTTTGTCCAAATACTTATGAGCCCTTAAAGTCGGGGGCTGTGTGAAGAAATGGTTGTCATTCCTACACGGTTCATACTACATTTTTGAAAAAAAGCCTTAAATGAAAGCTGAGAGTCTGCACTTTAAGCAGGTATTCATTGTTTCATTTAAAACCCATTGTGGTGGTGTACAGAGCCAAAATGACAACAACTGTATCATTGTCCAAATAATTATGGACCTGACTGTATATCATTTGTTAAGCTATTTTTTTTAATTTATGGCTAGAAAGCTTGCAGAAGGAGTGAAATTCAAGAACCGTCCCAAACACCCCTAATTCACCCTATAGTGAATCTGCAGTTCATGATTTCAGTTTACGGCTGATATTGGCTTTAAAATTAACTATTAGAATCAGCCAACATGCTTTTTCTTGTTTTGCATAATAAATGAATATTACATGAAAAATATTGTATTTCATGTCTCCATCTGCTGGTGGGCCATCACAATAAGAGTATGCATGCATAATACGATGTTATTTCCACTACAGAAGAGACTTGATTATCACTAAAACTAGGTGGGGGAAAAAAATGGATATATCAATATCAGCCAAATAAGTTGTTATATATCGGCATATTGGATATCAGCAAAAAATCCAATATCATGCATCCCTACCATATAGTCTTTTTTCATGAGCTGTCATTAAAGGGATAGTGCACCCAAAAATGAAAATTCAGCCATTATCTGCTCACCCATATGCCGATGGAGGCTCAGGTGAAGTTTTAGAGTCCTCACATCCCTTGCGGAGATCCAAGGGGAGAGGGGGTAGCAGCACAACTCCACCTAATGGAGGCTTACGGCACCCCAGATTCAAATGTCCAAAAACACATAATTGAAACCACAAAATTTCTCTATACTGCTTGTCCATAGTGATCCAAGTGTCCTGAAGCCCCAACATAAAAAGTTGTTTGGAAAAACGTCATTTGAACTCTGTTTTTAGCCTCATTGTAGCCTGTAGCTCTAACTGCCTCTCTGTACACCCTGTTGGAGATATTTTGTGGTTTCAATTATGTGTTTTTGGACGTTTGAATCGCCGTTTGGGTGCCTCCATTAGGTGGAGTTGTGTTGCTACCCCCTCTCCCCTTGGATCTCTGCAAGTATTGTGAGGACTCTAAAACTTCACCTGAGCCTCCATTGGCATATGGGTGAGTAGATAATGGCTGAATTTTCATTTTTGGATGTACTATCCCTTTAAGTGCCTAGGTGTAGTTACTTTGGTCACTTAGTTTGGTTACCAACCCCAGATTCAGATGATGTAAGGACTGTTCTGGTACGCTGACTTCCAGGAAACCATGATGGACCACCCACTGCGGACCATCTCCTACATTGCTGACATTGGCAATATTGTGGTTCTGATGGCCCGGCGCAGGATGCCTCGACCCGACTCTCAGGAGAACGTGGAGGCATCAGACCCAGGTCAAGACAGCAAGCGCCAATACAAGATGATATGCCACGTGTTTGAGTCTGAGGATGTGAGTCCAACTGCCAACTTATATGATGTCTTTGCATGTGAAAAGGAACAACATGCAGTGTTTGTGAAGTTAATTTTGACAGTTTAATCAGCTGTGAAATCAACCACAGTTAGTTAAAAAGGAACTTGAGTTGACCGAAGTCTGCCATTTTGTTCCTTCAGGCCCAGTTGATTGCTCAGTCCATTGGCCAGGCCTTCAGTGTGGCTTACCAGGAATTCTTACGGGCCAATGGCATTAATCCTGAGGACCTGAGCCAGAAGGAGTACAGTGACCTGCTCAACACTCAGGACATGTATAATGATGACCTCATCCACTTCTCCAAGTCTGAGAACTGCAAAGACGTAAGTAGGGCTGTGTGTCATTGAAACATCTTTGTACTGGTGCCTCAACAGTAACTTTCCTTTAAACAAAAGTCATATACTACCCAAAATAAAAAAGTCAATGATTATTCTCTTCACCACTAAATAACTAGTTAAACTTCTGCTATTGAATGTTTTTGCATTATGATGTGGAACATTATACTAAACAAAGTGAAAAGTTAGGGTTGATTTCTCTCTGACTCTAAAATGGTTTTGTGACGTGTCTGCCTGCTGTGACCTCAGGTGTTCATTGAGAAAGCAAAGGGGGAGATTCTGGGTGTGGTCATTGTGGAGAGTGGGTGGGGCTCCATCCTGCCCACTGTCATCATTGCCAACATGATGCATGCTGGGCCGGCTGAGAGGTCTGGCAGACTGAACATAGGAGACCAGATCATGTCCATTAATGGGACCAGTCTGGTGGGACTGCCACTGTCCACCTGCCAGAGCATCATCAAGGTATGTGTGCACCATTATTTTCAATGACAGGTATTGTGAATGAAGATAATAATGCACCAACAACACAGCTACCACAGTTCTTGCCTATTACTGTACAGAACCTTGGTTAAATGCCTTTAGCTGTACCTCTAGCTTGATTGTGTTTTCACAAAACACAATACACTTTATAGGGCACAACAGAAAAACAGAAATGTGAGCATTTTTTTTCTGATTTAGTCAAAGCTCATTTAGTTTAGTTAGAAGTATTCTGGTATTTTGCCTTTATTTGCTATAAATATTAGGGATGCACGACATTGATATGCTGATATATAACAACTTATTTTTTCTTGCTTATTTAATATTGCTTTCCTCTACATAGGGTCTGAAGAACCAGTCTGGGATCAAGTTGAACATTGTCAGATGTCCCCCAGTGACCACTGTACTCATCAGACGGCCAGACCTCCGCTACCAGCTGGGCTTCAGCGTCCAGAATGGCATTGTGGGTAACACTGTGATTCTGCTGTTTTTATGTTGAATTATCCTTGCAGTTCTGTTAAATTGCTTGAGTGAAATTTGATTTGTCATCTAAATATATTGATATGTCCCATCAACAGATCTGTAGCCTTATGCGTGGGGGCATCGCTGAAAGGGGCGGGGTCAGAGTGGGTCACCGCATAATCGAAATCAACAGTCAGAGCGTGGTGGCCACACCCCATGAAAAAATTGTCCACATTCTGTCCAACGCTGTGGGAGAGGTGAGACATCACACTGGACACAACAAATACTGTGATTTTCATCATTTCATTTTTTGCCTTTCATACAGATGTACTGAAAGAATTGACTTGACCTAGGCCCTTGCTCCTCTAGTTTTACTCAGTTGTTGGCAGTTCACTCTAGATTTTCCCTGCCGAGCCCCAGACATTTCTGTATGTACACCTCTTTTCCAGCTGTTTCTTTGGGCAACTTCTTTTCCTAGCTCCTTGTGGGTTGCATGTCAGGGCTCGTCGGGTGACGTTTGTGGCAGGTTTTCTGAGGGTGTGTCCAATCCAACTCCACTTTCTCCTTAGAATATGTGAGTCAATGGGATCCTCTCTTAGACAGCAGCCTTGCCATAGTGGAGAGGTTTGCATACTCCAGTGATTCTGAGAGCTATGCAGGAGGGGGTTTTTATCCCCCTGGAAGATTCAACCAAACTGGACAGGTTAAGGTGGAGGAGGCAGACAAATGCAGTCCCCGGTTCACCATGTTGGTGGTTGGGCATGGGACTAACTACCCCACCCTATAAGAAAGAGTGAGTTACAAAAGTGATGACGAATGAACACCAAATCACAAACCTGGTTGAAGAAGGTGCGTTTGGGACTATGACGCTTCCCAGCCAAACCTGCAAGGGAGCTGGGAAGCCAATACACCTTCTGACTCCAAGGAAATCTGTTTATGTGGGAACATGGAACATCCACTAAAGGTACTGCATGCAGGTGAAATATTTGGTGCTTACCAGAGCCCTTCTGTCTCGTACTACTTGTAGGAACTAAGGGGAAGGAAGTGGCTGTTATCATATGACTTTCTGCACTATGTGACCTTATGATTATTAGAGTTATTAACAGTGAATGACATAACTCAGTTGCCGAGCAGAAGAAACAGCATCAGGTGTCTCTTAATTAGCTTTGCAGCTAGGACTTTAAATTGTGCTGTTTGCTTGGTTATAAACAGCATCATCAGCTACATGACACCCAGTGGCACATGCCAGTGCACCCAGTGTAAGCAGCTCTACATGTTGTGCAAGTGTAGAGTCCCATATCAGAAGAGTTCAAATCTGTGTCTTACTTTAGCCACTATAATTGAATGAATCATATTTCATATATCTTTACTCAATTTACTCAACAATATAAAGTACCCACTTCACTAGAATAAGTACTTTACCAATGCACTACCAAGCCAAATGTATACAAACCCAAGTGTGGGTTATAAGTCATCAAATAAAGCCAAAAGGGTATTTTTCAACATGGACTCTGTTTTCCCATGTGTCTCTAAGTGACTGATGGAGAAAGCAATTTACATTTTGTGAAGAGGCTGGTCCAGTATTTAGTTAGGGGCCATACACATGCTGCATCTTTAACCACCTGGAGAACACGAGATTAGGCACTGGGTGCTACTCTTGTCGCTAAGCAACCTTAACAAGCACAGTATCATGGCCTATTTCCCTGAAATCCTGAGTGCAGAGCTGATCTTCTTACAGGCCCTGATAGTGTGTAGGCCTGTTGTCTGTGATACAGATGTAAAGCTCTGGCAGCCCTGCCTTAAAATTAACTTCTTCTCCATATTTATCACAGACTGATATTTACAGATAAAGGGAAAAATATCTTTTGGCTGTGATTGGTTGGACCTCATCACATGGCATGCGAAAAATCGAACTCTGTTTTATCTCAGGGTGCAGCCATTACGCCCTGAAAAATAGGCACTTGGGAACACGTGCACGCAGCGACGCTGCCTGACGTTTGAACGTAACTGCCACAGGTCTACATTGAAAACAATGAATTTGAGGGCGCAAAAAATGCGGCATGTGTTCGGCACCTTGAACTGCTGCAACCAGTAGTAGCAAAACAGGCTGCAATGTTATGTATGTACCATTCAGGGCATGTACGCACAGTCAGTTTGCATACATTTAAGTGCTTGATTTGCCATTGACATGTTCAGATTATTAATTTAAGTGTTTTACAATTTATAGAAAAGATCCCTACAGAGAGAGACATTTTTGTTAAAGAATAAGATCATACTTGTTTGACCAGCAACAGCCAGCGTATTTCTGATTTCTTGTTGCGGTGCCTCCATCTTTGTTTTGGTGAACTTCCTGCCAAATGCTGCTGACTGAGACCTCTGCTGACCTGACCAGGAAAAAAATACAAATCAGCACCATCGAGTGGACTGGAAAAGCAATTGATTTTATTATTCTAGTATCAAAAGTTGTATAAAAATGTGTATTTGCAAAAATTAATAATGTATATAATAAAAGATCAATACTTGTATTGATATAATATCACCACGCAAAATATCGCGATTCCTAAGCTGTATTGATTTTTTCCCCCACCCCTGGTAACTGTGCTGTTACTACAACCAGCAGCAACAATGGCAGTTTCCAGAATCACTGGCATGTCTGGCTTAGCAACGACTGCCAGAATTGGCACCTGATCTTCAAAGACATTAACTAGTAATATTCCATTAACTGAATGCTTTCTTGTGTCTGTGACTGTCTCAGATCCACATGAAGACGATGCCTGCAGCCATGTACCGCCTGCTGACTGCCCAGGAGCAGCCTGTTTACATTTAACAAGACAAAGCCCTGACCTCACACACCCTTTAAACGTCCTGCAATCACTTGTCACTTCCCAAGCCGACCCCCTCTGCCCAGCCCAGTGCTCATCCTGTCCCCTTCTGTTCACTGTTGATGGACGAGAGTGCGATGTTAGTAGGATTGTTCTGTTGCTCAGCCTTCAAGAGACAACAACGTAGAAACCCATCTGTAGTCTTTAAAAGATTTGTTTTCTTACTTAGGCTAAATGTGCAATTGGTGAAAGGATGTTTACACCTTAAGCATTTTCAGCGCCTTGTTGTGCCCCAGAATCCTAAAATCTTCTTCCTGGTTCACTGTTGATGTTCTGAAACTCAACACAATTTACACTTTATAACTTGGGAGCAGATAACTATTCCTCTGTGTATCTTTAATGTTCACTTTAGGCAACTAAGACAGTTTGGTGACAGTTTTGCTCATTGTTAAATATAGAAATGAAAACTTATCACCCAGTAGAAACCTGATTTTTAAGGAGCGGTAACTGAACCCTGATTGTAGACTTTAAGGCAATCTGCACATCCAACCCTAACCTTTACACAGTGACTGTACCTCCTGCCATGCTGCTATTTCACTGGCAGAACACTGCTTGTGTCTTGTTATAGTTATCATTTATTTCTGTTTTTTGGGCGTTTTACACTCATGTTGTAGCTACATTTCGTAGGACCAGGCCTACTTTCGCTTTCCCTCCTGTAATCCACTCCAAATACTGTACGTTGGTGTTCTTTGCACAACACAGAGCTCCCCACAGAGGGAGAACGTGAATCTTGCTGACAAATGAGTGTGCAAACACACACTCCCCCTCGTCACATTCCACGTTTGCTGCATTGTAGAAGAGTTGACGCTGCAGCTCCATTTTGCACTCCTCATTTCCAACAGGAAAGCTTTCCAATTCAGCTGTAGTCAGTTGTTATAGTAGTTGTATTTCCATCCCATTTGTTTCATATGTGTATCCTGTGTACATGGCACCAGCAGTAGCTCCAGTCAGCATGTAATAACAGCCATTAAACTAATCCCTCTCTTACACCACAAACAGTTGTTCATGAAGCTGACTCACAGGGAAATCTGTTACACCACAGAGCATGTTTGACATAATTTTAGAATTTACATTTACCAACAAACACCACCTGAACCCAGATGCATCCTTTAATAAACCATTAAAGTTACAGCAAAATGAATCTTTTAATATATTTTCAGTGATCACCAAAGACATCCCATCACCCTTTTACATGTAGCATCCTTTAATAACCAAATTTGTGAGTGAGTGACAATTGTTGAATTTTATTATGAGTTTAATGTGACATTTTTGGAATTTTTAATGTCCTTATAAATGTGATGAATGATAATAATTCATTTAAGAAAAAATGGGAAGTTGGGAATTTTACATAAATTGGAAATACATGATCAGGATTATTAGATTATTTAGAGCTATGAAGGTGAAAGCTATAACCCAGCAGGCTACGGTGAAGTTTAGTTTTAACCCAACTGAAATACAACATGTGTTATATTCTGAGGTTACTGAAGTGTAGTCAGTCAGAGGGAATACATGTTGCTGACTGGGTGTATTCCACTCTAACGCCACTCTGTCTTCAAATCATGTCCACCAAACATTCGCTTTTCTGTTCCTGCAATGCAAACTGTTCAACTCTCATCAAAAGTGCAATGGCTTTTTGTGTTTATTTTGTCAACAACTTGAAACATGATTCTTTTAGTTTTTTCTTATTTTATTATTTCAGGGTAATTTGATATTTTTATTGTGTGTTTATACACAAAATATCACTGTACAGTAGCTTGTTTCAAACTTGAATGGTGCTTATAAGAGATTGGTCCAGGGATGACGTGTATTTGTAAGCCAGCGCAGAAGTTAGCATCACCTTGTTTCCTTGACTAAAAGCTCATGGGTTTCTTTTCAATTGGATTGAAATGCAGAAAAAAGGTCTTTCACAAGCAAAAGTTTGATACTTGCACGTTTTGTTCAGCAATATAATCTTTACAAATGAACACTACTTTTATGATTTTTGAAGCATAAATGCATTCCCTAGGAGTAAAAAGCCAACGTCAGGCTACAAACAAACTACACCCCCGTCACATGACTTAATATCACCACCACAACATGGCTGTAAAAACGTATTTGCCGTGATGGTGTTCTGTAGTCTCATTTAGCCAGTTGTTAACAGCCACTTTACTAGGGATGCACAATATTGGATTTTTTACCAATATCCGATATGCCAATATAAAAAAATTTAATTGGCCAATAATTGATACAGATATCGATAAATTCCCTTTTCCCCACCTAATTTTAGTGATCATCAAGTCTCTTCTGTAGCGGAATTAACATAATATTATGCATGCATGCTCTTATAGTGATGGCCCACCCACAGATAGAGACAGTGGCATAAGGAAGTCATTGCGGGCCCCAGAGCATGTTACTTTGACTTTTGATTTTGTGTCTCAACTAGCTACCATATATCGTAGCATCTCATCACATCAAATAAAGACTTAACATTGGACAGCAACAACATATGTTTCACCCATTAGTCATCTTTGCATCATCTGTATATGACAAAAATACCAAAGAAATGATTTATTTAATTGAATAGTGTTTTTTTGTAGTTTATGTATAGTTTTTATAGTTTGTGTAGAATTAGCATATAATTTTGCTATAGACTGCCACTGATTTGGCCGTCTTGGCCTTTTTGTGGGCATAAATGGCAAATAGCACTATTTTTAGTTTAACAGAACTTTACAGTTGTATTTTTGAAGGTGCAGACTAACTCTCTATGGGTGCCCCCCACCCCACGGGCCCCGGTGCAACCGCAACCGCACTGCTCACTCTCTATATTTATGCCCCTGGATGGAGACATGAAATACAATTCTTTTCAAGTAGCATGTTGGCAGATTCCGACAGTTTATTTTAAAGACCTTATCAGTCCAATATGATGACGTGCGGATATACAATGAATTTTATGTGGTAGAACAAAATGTGAAGGTCTCTTCAGCTTGTGTTAACCACAAACCTTATTTCAGGCATCTGGCCAAAAATCCATCTAAAAAATCTGTTTCAAGACAAGGGAGCTGGGAGTGCTAAGATGCTAACTTAATTCCAGGTTTTTGGGCTCATTCCTGCACCACCCTATAAGACTCTACCCTTAAATGACTGTACTGGTATTTCATATTTTATCCCTTTTACTATTAAGTACTTCAGTAGTTTGCATTTTTGCAGGCAACTTTCATCTTCTAAAAAATCAGCTTGCAAAAACTTGAAACTTGGGTTGGAAAATCATTCCCAGTGAGCACTGTTGTTGTCAAGGTTTCCAGTCTCTACAAGCTCATTGGGAAATCAGTGGCTGGCTCTAAAAACTAAAAACGGTTTTGCTGTGGAAAATGAGCAACAGGCATGTTAGAGAGCAATGGGCTAAAACATGAAAACACTGGCATGGACTTTTCAAAATGCTGGATATTTTTATTATCTGCTGGTTTGAATTGAAGGTATTTTAAACAGTTAAAGTGCTGGGATCACATGAGACAAACATGAACTCAAAAACAGTAAAGTTTTTTCCTGCTTTGATATAAAACATGTTAAAGCTGTTAAAGTGAATGTTTTAATGTGCACTTTTGACGATGTATGCTACAGCTAAGACAGATGTAAGCACATTTTAAACTGATTTACTTTTAATTGAAGTTGTCTACATAGTTATTCATGTACCACTAGGTCAGTTGTGTATACTGAGTAAGATGCCACACTTACAAATAGAAGGTTTAAAAAAAAAAAAAAAAAAAAAGGGGAAAAAAATCATTAAATTTAACGTTGTTAAATGTTGCCTTTCAATCAACAAGCTGATTGCCATTGACTTCGTGTTCATGTGGACCAGGTTCTGTATCTGTATTATAATCACAGTATATTTAGGCTCTAAGGATTACATGTCTGATCTGAAGATTTTAGATGATTTTTTTTTTTTTTTAAAGTTTAATATTGAAATAAGTGGCTCATGTGTTACTGCAGTCACATAAAACTGTCTCCAAGCCCTTGCTCTCTTTGTAAAACATAAGAGAGCTGATTGGTTCAATTCAACAAGGACATAACTTGTAAGAAAATATCCGTTAATTTCATGTTTACTAAAGTAAGTGCAAAAATAGATTTGTGAAGCAATTTTCTTTATTTGTAAGATGCAAAACAAACACAAATCCTGTTTAATTGAAGAATCCTGTTTAATTGAAAGTTCAAATGGCTGGTGTAAAGTTTAATTGTGAAACAGTGGATACATTTTTGAGCATAACAGCCCCCACAAAATGAATCATTGCACTATTGGGATTTGATCCATTCAGTCCCATAACATTTCAAAAGCCTAGAGGAGCAGCATTTTATCCCCATTCAAAGTACTGCATTTGCTCCATGGGCCCCATGATGTGTAAGAGCTGGATATTTTTATACCTGGAAAGTCAAACTTTTTTTGGCTTCATGCACCACTGAGCAGCTGTCAAAGGAATGAACTGGGCGCCCAGCCAACACTGTATCCAGTTCTCTTTATACAGCTATGATCCAGAATGGCCCTAGACAGGGCCACTCAAATTTTCGCATCAGCCACTGTAGCTTTCCCGCACACTTGGCACACTGCAGAAGTTTCAGTTGGTTGCAGTCTGCAACCTCACCACTAGATGGCATGAAATCCTACACACTAGCCATTTTAGCTACTGTCAGTGTAAAAAAAAAAACTTAAGCAAGCTTATTGGTTGAATTCAATAAGGACATAGCTTGTAACATGTAGAAAATATCAGAAAGTTTCATGTTGACTGAAGTAAGTGCAAAAAAAGATTTGTGAAGCATTTATTTTATTTGTAAGATGCAAAACAAATGTGAATCCTGTTTACTGTAATTTAAGGCTCAAATTGATAATTTCAAGTTTTTTTGTTAAACAGAACTAATCCCATGTATTGTAAATGTACACTGTCTTTTAAAAATGTAGCACATCAACAGAGCTGTTTTTTATGTGTTTTGGACCAGTCATCACCTACAACACAGAAAAACGTCAGTTATTTCCCTCTCCTGTCTCCAGTTTTAAATGGATGAAGCAGTCACAGATGGTGGATGCACATCACGTCTTAGTGAACTAGATCAGTATGAATAGGAATGGACTTTACACTTGACTTAAAGTGTGCACATCTGTAATGCTTTCTAGTTTTCCTTGCAGTACAACAGTCAAGTCGACAGGGATTGCATTGTAGTTGTGATCAAGGTTAAAAGTGACAACTCTTTAGAATTAAGAACTTTTTAAAGGCCTCTAAATTTGGACTTTGTTTCAATGTTTGTTTGTTTTTTATTATTATTAATCTGAGGAGACTGTCTCTTCCAAAGGACTACAACATTTGAACCCAACACCATCTCCTCTGCATCTCTGAGAATGTACCTGGCAACAACGCAACTTTCTTGACTCGACAAGCTTTTAGTTCCCTGTTGGACATTGCCAACAGGACTTGTGTTCTCTTTTTTTTTTACATTTCTCTGAGTTTAAGGCTAAAACATGTATCCCACTGTATACCCCAACTTCAAAACCCACTGCTTAGTCCATCTGTCTGACCTCATCGATGAAGCTCATCTTGGCCTTACTACCACTACTGGACTTTTTATGATGTAAAAACTGATACTGAAGAGGAATAGCGGCAACGGCAGCCATTTTTGGACTTTTACCATGGGCTTCTCTGAGGCCACGTGATTATGCTGTACTGTTCTTACTTCTAGTGTGTGTGTGGTGTGTGATTACAACCAATGTACTCCATGTTCAAACAAAAACCAGCTGGATATATAAAGTACACATATAGATGAAATATATAGAAAACTATGTAAAGATATATACTTCTGTGTGTTTGGGTTGGCCTATAGGAAAACTTCAGTCAATAGAAAGCGATGTTTTCATTTGAATGGAATGTAGGAAACTGATTGTGTGAAATGACACTGATGTACAGCTAGAGCACAATATAATTTAAGGTGTGTGTGATATTTTCCCTCTATGGTCTGTCAGGGATTGTAGGCTAGCGTGACACAATGAAGCTAACCACAGAACAAGCACTTGAAGCTGGTGGCAGGCAGCAGGATTGGCTAATGAGTATTTATAAGTGCACTCATTTTGAATGTAACTGAAACGTTAACTCTCAATGTGTCTACAGATTTAAAAAAAAAAAAAAAAAAGCAAACAAGAAAAATACCATTTCTGTAAAGCAGCAGCAATGTTTATTTATTTGCTAGCTTTTTTTCTGTGATGTTCTAGCTATTGGAGCTACATTCCTGTACCAGAGCCCGAATGTTTGTAACAGTATTTACAACAATAAATGACTTGCAGAAGGACTTTGGTTTTAATTGTAGTTTCTAAATGAGCCCTGAAGGAACTTGTCTTTGAGGAATTTTCGCTGTTCAGGATTCTTTTCTTGCAGAAAATGTCATTCCATAAAGCAACAGAGCAACAAATTCTGCATACGTATGCAGAATCTGTAGGTGGCGGGACAAGATTTTTGTATCTTAAGTTTTCTGGTTTCCATTTGTTGTCCAAGAAGCATTGACCAGACACTTTTGAACGACAGATAGATGCTGGTGTGGAGAGGCGAAATCACAGACTGTATAAAAAAGATGGATGGCGTGACAGCTCCCTAAAAGTGAAGCCAAAACCTCTTGATCACCCCCTGGTGGCTTGCTGCAGTACAGTTAGTAGATCAGACATGGGCCAAGCTAAAAACTCTAAAGTACACCTCAAAAACATTTTTCTCAAAGATGGTTTCTGTAATTTTAGGGAGTTCTTATCAGATTGCTGTATGTTCAATGGTTTGTTTATCTGAAAAAGTTCGGTTAAGTTTGCTAATTAGTTATTTGATGCTATAAAAAGGGGTTAAATGTCATGATTGACAGCTCTGTCTGCCAATCAGTGTGCTCGCCATCAATTATGCTGCTCATGAATGGTTGTACAGGTGTTTGGGCAGGACCAACATGACAGTGCCCGTATTCGGGATATTTTGGCTTCATTTTTGTACAGCAGGGGTAAGTGGAGACACGTTGTCCATCTCTATATAGGGTCTATGGGTGAAATGCAATCTCAGAACCCATCAGCTAGGTCTGACGATTAGTTTGCTTCATGTTAGCTTTGTTTAAATTCATCTGTATTCATATGCAGATATTATAGAGATTAATCAAAATGGCTGGCGCACAGAAGAGAAAGCCTTTGCTCCTATATCTCCTGGCCACACCAGATCAACCCTAAATATTGGCCCTCATCCCCAGAGGCTGATCATCATCAGAGATAACTGATGGGTTCCAAGATTGGGGTTTTGTTGGGAGTATTTAATTCAACCCAATCAGCAAAAGAAATGTTGGCATGGTACATTTCTGCAAACCACAGTATGTTAGAGCTGTCCATTAGTATGTGCAGATATGGTGAAACTTAACATTTTAACAATGCTGTGTTAATAGTGTGGTTAGGTTTAGGCACAAAAGCCACTTGGTTATGGTTAAGAAAATATCATGTTTTGCCTTTAAATACCTGGTTTCCATGCCTGAAAAGCTGTTGGAAAAACAGCAATGACTTGCTTAATCACAACTGGTTTTGTTGTTGGTGTCAAACAGTGATCTGCAGCTTGGCAGGCTTCTCGCCTAGGTGTCACACTATCCACCACCTCCCAATGATAAAGTTAGTTCACGTACTATGTCACGTTAGAAATGTTATGATATGTATGAAACGTACAAATGTAACATATTTGTGGTTTGCAAAAACTTACAATGCCAACATTTTCTTCTGGCGACTGAGCTCGCTTCCCTCAACAGGTCTTGACAATACACAGTGATCGGCTCATAGGATTATATGGTTGTACACTGACAGGAACTCTGATGTTTTAAAGCAACAAAAATATTTAGAATTTTCTCATTAGTGTTGGATCAATGCAATCACCATCTTGTCAAACTTTCCATTTGCTGTTAATGACCAAATGGAGAACCTCAGCAGCAAGAGTGATGTGGAGGTACTGGGCAGCTACAGAAGAGAGAGATGTACCATATTCAAATCAAACTGCACCACAAATAACTGTATTTGTAGAGTAAACAGATACAATAAAAACACCTTTCTGCAAATACAATTATATTGAGCTACAGACAATCACACATCTTAAATGGAGGATATAGCTGTTGTAATTTGTTTGGTCATTAAGAGAGTCTGATTAGTTTTACATCGTTTTCATTTACTCTCATGGTGGTTAATCTACTGCATGAGAGTTATTCTGCTGTTTGCAAAAATCACACACAGCAAATGGATGCCCAGTTCTAGTGACAGCTTGTAGAGATCTGAGTTTGCAACAAGGTAATGAGGATGTCATCTGTGAGGCTTTCATGTATTAGTAAATGAGCAATGTTTGTAAAGGAAAGAGATACAAAAGGGAAAATAATGATAATTAATCAGGTATGCAGCAATGATTAGTAATGGGCCTTGTCAACAGTCAGTCACACACATGTGTCAGCACACATATGCTACACTTGGCAAACAAACAGCTTGAAGAATGCTGTCTATATCAAAGCCCAAACTAGCACTTAAACAGAATCCTGTTCCCAAAAAGTCCTACAGAGAAATATTTTCTGAACCACTTCGAACTCAAATTACATTTTGCACAACCATTGGCTCTGGCTTTTGGCAAGCCAGAACATGATATTTTCCTAACCATAATCAAGTTGTTTTTGTGCATAAACCTACCACACATTAACCACAGCATTGTTGAAATGTAAAGTTTCAACGTATCTTCTACAGAACAATGTACAAATGTTACGGAACCTGATTTTCATAAATGTAGAATGCCATCATTTATTCTGGCAATGTGGTGGATGAAAAGGCTGGGGTTGTTCTTAGGGCTGTAGCAATGGTTACACCTATGGCTACAGCTGCAACTACAGCTGTTTTTCTGGCAAAAGCTATGATTCTGGCTACGGCTGTGGTCATAGCCTTGGTAATCCTTACAGCCACCACCATAAGCACAGCTATACAATGGCATACAAAAGTTTGGGCATCTCTCAAAGGAATGAAGTTAATGGTGAAACATGTTTTTCAGCAGTTTAAGCAAGATCAGTGTGTTATTTTTTTGTACAATGTTAGATTGAAAAAAAAACAGGAAAGGAGCACCATGCAAAAGTTTGGGCACCCCAAGACATTTGAGCTCACAGACAACTTATAACAAGGTTCCAGACCATAATTAGCTTGTTAGGGCTATAGCTTGTTCACAATCATCGTTAGGCAAGCTCAGATGATGCAAATTTCAAAGCTTTATAAACACTCTGACTCCTGAAACCTTGTCCCAACAATCAGCAGCCATGGGCTCCTCTAAACAGCTGCCTAGCACTCTGAAAACTAAAATAACTGATGCCCACAAAGCAGGAGAAAGCTATAAGGAGATGTTTTCAGGTAGCTGTTTCGTCAGTGCGTAGTGTAATCAAGAATTGGCAGTTAACAGGAACTGTGAGGTCAAGTTGAGGTCTGGAGGACCAAGAAAACTTTCAAAGAAAGCTGCTTGTAGGATTGCCAGAAAAGCAAAACAAAAGACCTGCACTAAGATTTATCAGACTCTGGAGTGGTGGTGCACTGTTCTACTGTGCAGTGACACCTGTACAAATATGACCTTCATGGAAGAATCATCAGAAGGAAACCTTTCCTCTGTCCTCACCACAAAATTCAGCGTCAGAAGTTTGCAAAGGAACATCTGAACAAGCCTGATGCTTTTTGGAGACAAGTCCTGTGGACTGATGAAGTTAAAATAGAACTTTTGGACACAATGAGCAAAGGTATGTTTGGAGAAAAGAGGGTGCAGAGTTTCATGAAAAGAACACCTGGGATGGATTGATCATGCTTTGGGCTTGTGTTGCAGCCAGTGACACAGGGAACATTTCACAGGTAGAGGGAAGAATGGATTGACAAAATGCCATCAAATTCTGGAAGCAAACATCACACCATCTATAAACAAGCTGAAGATGAAGAGAGGATGGCTTCTACAACAGGACAATGATCCTAAACACAACTCGAAATCCACAATGAACTACCTTAAGAGGAGCAAGCTGAAGGTTTGCCATGGCCCTCACAGTCCCCCGACCTAAACATCATTAAAAATATGAGGATAGACCTCAAAAGAGCAGTGCATGCAAGACGGCCCAAGAATCTCACAGAACTAGAAGACTTCTGCAGCAGAATGGGTGAAAATCCCCCAAACAAGAACTGAAAGACTCTTAGCTGGTTACAAAAAGCATTTAGAAGCTGTGATACTTGCCAAAGTGGGCACAGTACTGACCGTGCAGGGTGCCCAAACTTTTGCTTCAGGCTCTTTTCCTTTTTTGTTATTTTGGAACTGTAAAAGATTGAAATTAAAAGTAATCTTGCTTAAAACATTGAAGAAATGTGTCATCTTTAACATTATGCCTTTTGGAGCTCAGGTCATCTTCTACTTTCTCAACTATTTACAGTGAACAAAATTTTGACCAGGGTGTCAAAATGTTGCATGCAACTGTACATACATTTTATGGCAACAATACAATAACAACACGTACATTCTAGACCAAAGTCAATTTGTTGCATTGGAAGTGCTACAATTAACTTGCAGAGGTTACAAAAACCTGAATGGAACTTTCACAATTAAGCTTTGTTGCTGCTACTTACTACCCTGGCAGGTTGACTGGGAACAATTCATTGAATGGTCTGTCATTTTCAAATAATTTTCAAGAAACTTACTGAAAAGATCTTTGTCATCTGGTACCAATTAATGGCAAAACTGTTAACATTTTATTTCTAATTAATTGCTAGTGTAACTTTTTTTTGCTTTTGGGTCAGTGCACAGCTGACAGAGGTGGTGCAAGACACACCTACAAATCTCAAGCAAGCCCCGAGTCACTGGGGTGAAAATCAAGCAGGCTAAGTCCCTGCTAAAGGTAAAACAAGACAAGTCAATTCATTGCTCAGATCAAGGTAGTCACAAGTCAAGCCATAAGAAATTCTGATGTTCTGGTCAAACATTAGCTTTCTAGCTACCTAAGCTTTCCCTCACCCAATCATGTTTTAAAACAAACCATAACCTCTCAATATTTAAAAAAAGTCAAGCTCTTTCAAGTTACATGTCTAAATCAGGTCTAAAGTCATGAATATCAAAGTCAAAGCAGGTTGTTTATCAAAGCAAGACCGAGACTCGAGTCAAGTCATGTGACTCCAGTCCAACACCTCTGACAGCAGGTCAACTAAACATGAAAAAATGATTTTTCTGCAGACAAACATGATTCAACATAGTTTCCAATAATTAGTGAATCATGAATGAATAGTCCATTCCTAATTTTTTTTATAGTTAGAACCAAACTTATTGGGAAGTCATATGAAATTATGGACTCATAAAATAAAGCATTACTGTTACTGTCAATATCTGAAATATTTAAGTCAGTGCATCTCTATTAAATAAAACCATGATACATGGAAAAGAATGGCTGTCATGTATAGCTGTATTGAGCTGACTGGAACAAATGCAAACTTATTACAGTGGTAAAATCTCAGTGCATACAAAACTTGGGATGCCAGGTACTACAATATGTTTCAATACAAGTTTCCATATTTTTTTATATGTAACAAATAAGTTGTCACAAAAACAGTATTAGCAGAGCAAAAAAGTTTGTTTTTGTTTTTTTTAATAACTGCATTCATACATACACATCTAAACACACACACACACACACACACACACACATATCCTCCTTAGTGGTTGGATTCAAAAAGTTTCCTCAGAGTTTTTAGCAATAGTTGAGGCAGCATCCAGCTGTGTTGCCATCCAACGTATTTTAACACAACAGTTTTTTCCTCAAAGCACCGTCTCTCTAAAGACTCCAATCAGACTGTGAGGGCGTTCGGGTTGATCCCGGCGGGACCCTGTCCTTGACCCTGCCCTTGAACCCCCTCTAGAGCCCGCTCTTCTGTTTCCTCCATGTTCCACAGACTCCAATGCAGCACAGGTGAAGGAGCTGAGGTCCCCACAGCTCTGCAGGTGCAGCAGACCGGGCCGTCTCCTGGGGGGGCGAGGGAAAGTCTGGGAGTAACTCCCTGCTGGCTGCTTGGCAGGTTTAGGCTGACCGGGACCCATCTCTGAGTCAGTGAATGCCTGAAAGCAAACAGGAAACAAAAGTTTAGGACTGTAAAGTTCTGGTCAGTTGGTTTGGATTGTTAGGTTGTATGCTTTTGACACTCGCTGGTGTTTGCCATGTGTCCACCACAGTGTTTCTTGAACTCAGCTGAAAAATACCAGCTGTTGTTGTTCAGCACTCAAAATTGTCCTCTGTAATGACTGTGTCTTTGCTGTGTTTGTCCCGCCCCCTCTCCAATGTGATCTGACGGCTGGTGACAGTAATGAGCACAGCATTTTATCAAAAGTTAAACATTCTGTAAGTCACATATTTGATCTGAAAAATGGATAAATAACCACAGAATACCTTTTGTGTTGGATTTATCATTATGGATTTATTTTACTTAGTCTCCAAAAAGACTCTGCAGTTCAAGGCTGGATTATAAAGCTTCTGAAAGGAACAGGATCACACCTCAACCCTTGTTGGAGCGGCATGATGGCTAATGTTAGCTACTGGGCTAAAAAAAAAAAAGTAAGTCTCTTTCTTGCATGCAGTGTTACAGAGATATTTAATGCTGGTAACCTTATGTTATATATGACATTATCAATCCCAAAGTTAACCACCATTGTGTCCAGCATGTCAGATTTTTCTCATAAGTCAACACTTAGTGGTGAGATGGACTTACGCAAGCAGGTCAAGTAGAAAAGAGTTGAGTGTGTGCAGTTTATTTTCAGACATTATTATATTGGAGAGCACATTTATATTTCACTCAGGGCATTTCACTTGCCTGAACACAGAGTTAACTTGCCCTGGGCAAGTGGTAATGTCGAGCCCTGTGACAGGAAAAATGCTTCGGTGGACACACAGTCCTACCAGGTAGAGAACACACAGTGCACTGTAGCGATTTAGTTAATCTCGAGAGAACCTGTGCAGATTTTTTCCCCCCATCGACCAATCGATTAGTCAAAGAGTAGGTAGAATTTCAGTCAACCAAGATTTTCTTTGGTTAACTCCAAGTGGAGGCAGGTTACAAAGTGGCTTGCACAGGCAGCAGCTACAGTCAGCAGGCCAAAGTTGGTTTAAATAGGGCGTCCTGATTGAGATTTGCCAGTCGGTTGCATAGAAAGGAATCCTAGCTGCTGACAGGTAGATTACTCCTTTCTAGCAATCAGATGCTCCATCTGTTGAATGGGCTGTTTGAGATCAGCTGATGTAGCTGGGATGTATGCTGAGCTTGACATTGTGTCCTGCCTGAACTAACACAATGCTCAATTTATGTTTTATGTTTTATTCTGTAAAAACCTTTGACTCTAATATGTCAACAAAATGAAACAAGAATTTTGGACCTGGCTTTATCCAATGTTTAGATTTCTCTTCTGGAAAATGTATGCAAATTAGTTTTTATTTAATTAGATATTGTCTCATTTGCGTATCTATCTATCTATATCAGAAGACATGTAATACAAAAAAGAAAGAAAGGAAGTATTCCCCAGGGTAAATTTAATGGTGATATCTATTAATCATACATTTTTCCCTATTCACCTGTAGTGTCTCACCTTAATCCCATGCTTTAAATAGTCCCCAACAAATGCATCACTTCTTTTATCAACGTGTGTTAACAACTACAGTAAGCAGTTGTTTTAGGAAATTAGTGAGCCTGTTTTTAAAAAATGAAACTTTATATTTGTGAGATGTATGTCCTCAGTAGGAATTAATGGAAACACATTGTGGATTTTGGTCTTTTCATGGGATTTGTTTCACTATAAGAAATCTAAAAATAATGGCAGCCTTATCCTTTTAGTTTACCATTACCAAGCATACTTATCTGTACTTAACCCATTTTCAAATGTGTAAACTTCCCATTACTGATTTTTGTGTTAGAGGTCACATCTGTAGTTCTGTATGAGAAATATTTGGGTTTGAGCTCCTACCTGTTCTATGTAACTGGCGCAGCGTACAGCCTCCTCCATGTGCTCCTGATCTGACTGCAGGACATTCCGTATGCTGTCCACCAGCTCCTGGACCTCCGGGGCCAGGCCCTGGGCGGCTGGCTGCTCCAAGATTTTCCTGACCAGCTGCTGTGTGTGTCTGTAGCTCTGGTAGTCCACCATGGAGGAGGGCCGGGGCCGGCGAGGGGTCCTGCTGTCGTTGTTGCCCCGACGCAGTGTGACCTGGCCCTGGGTATAGGCAGCCAGTGTGGGCTGGGAGGTCTGGGTGGAGGAATCTGTGGTCTGAGGAGAGGAAGCAAGGGGAGCGTCGCTGCTGCTTAGCACTACAGCAGACATGAGAAGAGAAGACAATGGTTTGAGCTCTCCAATTATCCACGTATATCCAACATAACATCATTTGCAAACAGTACTTAAGTGTGAAACAGAGCTTTAGTGGCACAAACATATTTAGTTACCAAAAGGAACTAGAATGTATGCCTTTGCAAACCTGTCATGTTGCAGTTACAGTTTACATCCATGTCTGTGAAAACATTGATGCTTCATATGTATCTTCCCCCCAAAAGAACAGAAGCTCTATACAAGCCACATGTAAGACTCCCTATAAATCAGTCGACCAAGCAAATCCTAACGTGACGCCTTATAACTATAATCAGCACAGTTTCAAGATGGACATCCAAGATAATGTCACCAATTCAGTATCTATATCTTTTAGATAGAAAATATCATCACTTCATCATTTTATCCTATTAGACATTTGTGTGAAACTTTATCATGATTAAAGTATGAATTCTTGAGTTATGGCCAAAAACACGTTTGTGAGGTGAGAGTGACCTAAACCTTTAAAGCAACACAATGTTGTTTTTCAGCCCTAGAAATATATATCCAAGATCCTTGTGATGGTACATCAATCACAGTAGGTTGGATGACACCTTCGTCATTGCTTGAGAGCGTCTGTTTCACTTGCACTGGCACTATGCAGTTTGGGGGTTTGGGTAGGAACCCGGACGCAAAAAGGACTACAAAATTTGGCTGCTTTATGGCATACGTCATATCCCCCTCCTCTCTTTAGAGTAGCGTAGCCGAACCGAGGTGAACGAAGTTAGACGTAGCTGCCATGGCTGAAGCAACAAAGAAAAGGAAGAAGGTGAAGGTGTTGTCTGAGGAGACAAAGAAAAGAAAAAGGGAGAGCGATAAAACAAGCTTTCACACACTGGTGAGAGTTGAAAGAGGAGGAGGGATCCCTGACCGATGGTGACCTGGAGCTGTTACCCTCTACTTAGGAGACTCACTGACCTGACCTGTCTGCAGGTCGGCTGCCTCAGGTACATTTTAAGATAAAGTGTTAGACTACACACAGACAGCTTTCATTTTAGTTTGTCTTTAACAGTTTGCTGTTAGCACCGCGAGCGCGATGTGCTTGTGTCGACCGTGATTGTAAATCATAATAGCGGTGAATGAGAGACTGCGGACAGAGCAGATTGAAATATGGCTTTCTACATGCTGATCACATGCATTGATAAAGTACTGGCTTGGCTGACAGAGGTTTTATCCCACTTACTTACAGTAACAAGTGTAGTTGTCGTCAGCTAGAGTAATCTTGAAGTTATATTCCCTTCATCTGCACTGTGGCCTCTCTGCTGTTGTCTGACTTCACTCTGTTGAGGTTTTGTGTGTGTGTGTGTGTGTGTGTGTGTGTGTGTGTGTGTGCGCGCGCGCTCCGTGTGAGGAGGAGGTCAGCCCTGACATGCAGAGATCAACTCATTTCTGAGTTTCGAAAATGAATAAATAAATAAAGCAATTGGCCTAATCATGTATGTACAAAATGCTATAAGGCTACTTTACCTGTTCTGAAGACATGATGACCGCGCATTACACGGCCAGCTTCAGGAAGTTCACCTCTATCGTTGGCTTGTCAACAAATACACGCGCAGAAAGATTTATGCAACAGACAATACCATCTTTCCGTCTGTAGGGGGACCCCATGAGGTAAAAAAGCACAATCCTCCATTGTGTTGCTTTAACCTTCCACCACTAAATTCTAATCATTTCATTTTTGAGTCCAAGTGGACATTTGTGCCAAATTTTTTAAATATTTCCTTGCAATGTTCTTGAGGTAACAAGTTCACGAGAATGTGAAAGACGAGATCACAGTGGCCTTGACCTTTGACCTATGATCACCAAATTCTAATTCAATTCAGTTTTTTCAATTCAATTTTATTTATAAAGCCCAATATCACAAATCACAATTTGCCTCACAGGGCTTTACAGCATACGACATCCCTCTGTCCTTAAGACCCTCACAGCGGATAAGGAAAAACTCCCCAAAAAAAACCCCCTTTAACGGGGAAAAAAAAAAAAACGGTAGAAACCTCAGGAAGAGCAACTGAGGAGGGATCCCTCTTCCAGGACAGACAGACGTGCAATAGATGTCGTACATCAATTCATTGTTAAGTCCAAATGGACATTTATGCCAAATTTGAAGAACTTTAATCACGTTTGCAAGAATGGGACAGACGGGCAACCCAAAAACATAATGCCTACGGCCAGGGCTATCACCGGCATGGAGGCATTCGATTACATTAAAACATAAGCTATTTAAGGGGGGTAGCTCTTTCAAAAGATTATTAATAAGGTTACAGCAGAGACACTTAAAAGCTGTCTGCACTGATGTAATGACCTCCAACAAGGAGGTGATGCTTTTGGTTAAGTTTGTTTGTTTGCTTGTCTGCAGGAGTACATTTAAAGTATTGGCCCGATTTTAATATAACTTTGTTGAAGGGTGTTGCATGGGCCAGTGAAGGACCCATTAAATTTTGGAGCAAATCAAAGTCCTGGGGCAGATACACCAATTATTTTTCAATTTCCTTCAGCTACTTCAGCTCATTAAATCTCTGCAGTTATCTGAAGGCAACAGGACACATACAGCATGTTCAGAGAACAGTGCCATCAAGTACGATTCTTCAGTGTGTTTTCCTTCATAAAATAATGTACAAATAACACCAGGCTGCCACAATATAAACACTCACACATCTACACACATCAGGTGGGTCCAGTTTTTTTTTGTTTTTTTTTGATGTTTATGTGGGAGGGGCTACTTAATCTTTAATCCAACTTTTTGTTTCATAAAATGATTAATTCTTCATTATAATGGAAATGCCACTTTCTTCCACTGAACCACTTATAATGTGAGGGACAGTGCAGCTGTGTCAGACTGATGCAATCAACTTTGCACTGGTAGTTGCACTTGTACTTTAATGTGGTATTTTGGAGGGATTTGTGACAATTTTTATTACTCCTTAAGTGGTAAAAAATGCTTAAATTCAGCACCAAACCTTCGTAACAAATGGTATCAACCCAAACAATGTTGAAACAACTTATGAGACACAACTGATCATGGGAATAGCCATCACATACTTCCATCATAATGTTCTATGCCCCTATAAACTCTAACCTTTCAAAGTTTGAATAGGTGGAGCCTAACCAAAATACAATGCTTTTTACAGTTTTATGACTAGAACAACTTGACACAGTGCTGAACTGCATCTCAAAGTAATCCTCAGGTTCTCAGCTTTCAGATGATGTATACCACTTCAATGTGGCATATATTGTTGACCTGCTATCTCCCCCTAGAGATCCCCTGCCCCCTCCCAAACAGACAAAAACGGGTCTATGGCAGGGAGGGGGGAAGCTGAAGAGGTTTTAAACTAGGGCCCTTGACAATTATAACATCCATTTCAATTTGTGTACAGACCCAATGCATGAATACACTCACACTGTTGACTTTTAAAGTTTGTTGGATGGCTTTTAGATACTGTACTAAATAAATGGGTAGGATGACTGTGATGGATCACTGTATGTTTTGGATTTGTGTGTCACAAATCACATTGGTGTACCAACTTCTCAAAATTCCATAGTTCCACATGAGCAAAGAAAAGCCAACCTTTGGCAGCGAGGTCTATCAACACCGGGTCACTGCTGGAGCGGTGGATCCTTGCTTTCCTCCAGGAGGTCGGTGCTGTAGAGGCCTGTTGCTGCTGAGGAGGAGGAGGAGGCTGGAGCTGGGGCTGAGGCTGGAGTTGGAGCTGAGGCTTAGCCTGCGGAACGATGTCTGATGATGCCGATGCCATTTGGGGACTCCTGTCTAAGACCAAACACAGACAGATGGACACATGCTTTTAGAATAAAAGGCAGTGTTTGACATTTCAAATTAGACAACACAGACTGACAGATCCTGTACACAGGTTTTGGTCCAAAGAAATGCAGCACACTTTCCCATCGTTGCTTTATGGTGTGTCTTCACCACAAAAGCTTCAACAAATATAAAAATACAGTACAAGTGTGTCTGATACACACACCTCAGGGAGACTGCTTTACATAGAGTGTGACAAATACGGACAAATATTACTGGGATCACATGACTGCTACAAGCAGCTGAAGGTATCAGTATCCTGAACATGGTGAGTATGGGACAACAGGCAGAGAGACAATCAACCAGAATCATGAGGGGAGCAGACAAAATGAAAGATACTAAGAAAAGCTGCACACAGTGTATAACTGATTACTCCTTACGTGGAAAATACAGGCTGGTAGGAAACTTCCTAAAAACACACAACCACAGGTCACAGCCAAACTGTACCATCATAATTTCATGAATATTCTTGCAAATAAAACTCTCATGTAAGACTCCCTATAAATCAGTCGACACACTTAATTTTTATATTGCAGGTACATGGCCATGTAGTCTCGCTCACCAGACCTTTCTCAAGAAAAGAAAGGTCTGGCTGGGCCGACTCTCACTTTGAGATTGGAGAAAAAAACGCCCTGGCTGCTTGTACTTCTTTCAACCAATCACAATCGTTCTGGGCGTTGCCACAGCAACGGTGCGCTTGCAAAAATATTGCCGGGGGGAAACAGGTTTTGGTGTAACACGCCCACAAAAATATCACCTACAGGACGCGAACCATGGCAGAAAACTGCTACACAACTGGAGGTGGTAGGGCAGGACTTCAGCGGGTGGCTCGTTCCGCCCACTGAGAGGCTGATCTCTGCAGCAAACTTCCGCCCACTCAGACTAATGGCCATGTGATTGGACAAATCCTAACGTGACACCTTACAACTACAATCAGCACAATTTCAAGGTGGACACCAAAGAGTAGTGTCACCAATATAGTATCTGACCAAATGTCTCCCCTTCTGTTCCTGAGTTATGGTGTCAAATAATGGTCAGAAAACACTGTGAGGTCACAATGAAGTTGATCTTTGCCCTTTTGGATGTAAAATGTCATCACTTCATCATTTTATCCTATTAGACCCTTGTGTTATATTTTGTCATATAAGATCTGTGGCCTTTGACCTTTGACCACCAGAATCTAATCAGTTCATCCTTGAGTGCAAGTGGACGTTTGTGCCATATTCTAAGAAATTCCCCTGAGGTAATCCTGACATCACATTCACAAGAATGGGATGGATGTTCTCTTGCAATGAAACTTTTCCAATTCTTAAAAAGCTCAGTTTCTAAAGCTCCAACATCTTCATCATTGGTGGCCCCAAATTTTAGACAGGGGGAGCAAAAGCATGCATCCTGCTTTACAGAGCATTCTAGCCCTGGCAGAGAGTGAAACCATTTAAAGTTAAATGCATGAGGACCCTGGCTGAGGTACAATTGCAGAACAGGCTGTGACGCTGTGTTGAGTCTGAATCAACATCAACAGGGTCTCCCTGCTCTGGCTGTGGAGCCCTGCTTTTGTCAGGAAGGGATGGAGGAGTACTTGTAGAGCTCTGGTGGACTCTCTGGCCTAAAAAATCATCAGAGTGGGGAATTAGTATCAGCAGTTACTGCAGGAGCAGTGTGAGGTTTGCAAACCTCACAAAAACCTCAAACCTCACAAAAATAGTCACGGCACAGTGAGGTAAATATAGGTTGGTACGATTATAATATATGCATTTCCAGAGTGTTCTTCCACAGGAGTTCTTTCCACCTGGAATAAGCAATGCCGATATTCACTCGCGTTTTGTCCCGTCCTCGCTTATCTGATCTTTTTCTTTTATTTGGTGCCGTGGTTTGCCTCTTACAGGGCAAAACATATGTGTGGTCCTCCATTTAAAGTGCGACAGAATCATAAAAGTACAAACCAGGTTCACGCAGAAGTGCCCCGGATTGAGCTTCACCTTCTCTGTCTCCAGTGACAGCAAGTTCTAGGTAAACGCGAAAGGCGAAGTGCGTATATCCCTTTCGGGCACTGTATTCAAATATGGCGACGCAAGAAGGCAGCCTCCAGCATACCGCGCCCTGCCTGCGTATATATCTGTGTATATATAGAGAAAT